AAATTTGGCAACTCTCGAATGATCATACGGCGTTTTTCCTTAGCGCGGCAGCGCACATATGACAGGAAGTCTACAACGTCGCAACCGGAGACACGTGGTTTTTCACTTTGGCCATCGAAATAATCATTATTATGTATGTCATTTTTAGTAGCATATCCAGAGGGTCCGCTACTCTCCTGTAACTGGAAAATTGTCCCCTAAAAAAGGAGATTCGCCCTAGCATCATCCAGAATCATGCATGATCGACATCCCGGGGCGGTGAACACAATAATATGAGAAGGCATCGTCCGGCACGGTGGCGCACAATGGATCGAGTCCATCAGAAAGGTCGGACATGAAATTTTTGACTAAAGCTCAAATTTTTATGTTTATATCGTCACTTTTCAAATTTCAAAGGCTGCTCGTAAAAGAAAATTTCTCGAGGAAACCAGTGAAACCATTTTGAAAAATCAATGTTTTGTATAAACGGAGTTATCAGCTTTTAAAGTTACTACGTTCTTGTCCGACTTCTCCAATTGACTCGGTCCACTGTGGCGTGGCGTGATTTACGATTTATCGATTGTCATGCCATTTAAACCTATGGAAAAGGATCGATAGACAGGGTGCTCGCAGCGATCACCATAATAATCAATTCTTTACCGTAGGTTTAAATGGCAGAACAATCTATACATCGCAATTCACGCCACGTCACTATCAATCCACTATGTGGCGTTGCGTTGGGCTGAACTCTCAACACCTGCCATCCACCCCGAAGCCCAATCAGTTTAATTGGTCGTGTTGTTATCACAACACCATTTTAATCAACTGGAATATATGGTTTCATTCGGGCTGCGTGATATGTTTTACAAATATTTTCGTCCAAGTGAATGAGTGATTGAAAGCTCATGAAATAAAATTTCACCTATCCATCATGTAATTGCGGACGTATAGTATGTCCCAGAAAACAGGGCCAGACTGCAGGAACGTGTGATATTCGTGGATATGAATTTTTTACATTAATTAAGTGTTTTTTTCAAAAGCGCTCTAAGTTGGAGCTATGGTCCCCAAATTTTAGGGGAATTTTTTTTTTCTGAATTTGGCCTCAACTATATAAAAATGTCAAGTTAAGAAAAGATTTCAGTGGCAATTACATCCTTCAAAGTAAAAAACTTAGTTATCTCTCAGTGGCGTGGCGAGCTTTGCAATGTATCAATATAATTGATCTGTCATTTGAACGTATGGAAAAGGATCGATAAACATGGTGTCCGCGACGAACATATTAATAATCGATTTTTTACCATAGCTTCAAATGGGGAAATATCGATAATCGATCATCCACGCCTCACTACTGTTTGCACTCCATCGGACCTCCTAAAATCCCTCTCTAACCTGAGATTACGATATTTTGGAGGTCTTGTAGCCACCTTTTCTGAGGTTTGGTCCATAAAAAAATTACGGCCTAAGGGGGGGTTAAGGTTGTTGATCAACGGTTGTGCGGACTTTTTTTTAGCCGATTTCAATGAATTTTCTGCATTGTGCGAAGCAAATTCCTCAAAATTTTAAAAGGGATCCTCATCAAAATTTTCTCGTAAAAACTTTAAATTGCCCACTTTTTGGCAGTAGTGGATGTGGCTTGGCTCCTTTCTGCTAAACAGTTTTACTTGCGCAGTAAAATTACTAACAAAGTGGTAAAAATACCACTATTACTAGTTATGGCTGATATCAATTAAGGAATCATGTAGAGCACCGTTATAATGGTAATTTCAAGCATAGTTCTTCCTCAGTTTGTAATCTGGCGGTTTTATTGTGGGTTATCCTGTACGGTGCACCTATTCAATCATAATTTTGCGCTGATTTTTAGCCCGCTCTTGTTATTTTATCCTTGTTAAAATCGTATGTTTATTCAGCAGGAAACCCGGAAAGTGATGCGCGGACGCGCCAGGTATGACTTTTTGGTTCAGTACTTTTTGGAGGGTGCCAGTCTTCGTATGCTACGGATGACTGCACTGGAAAAAAAAACACATTGGATCTAGAGTCCAGACTCTTGAAAACATTGCCAAGAAAAAATACTCGTGCAATCGGATTTTTGCTTGAATCAAAACGAAATACGCTCAAATTAGGAGGCTTGGTTCTTGATTTAAGCTAGATTCTGATTGAATCAAGAGTACTTTTTCTTGTCGATGTTTTCAGGAGTCTGGACTCTAGATCCAATGTGTTTTTTTTTCCAGTGAATCAAAATATAGGGAAACTTAATTTTGGGTACACCCTTTTTTTTTTTTTTTTTTTTTTTTTTCCAGTGTGGCTTTTGTCGGAGAATCAAACGCTGCTCTATATATGCAGCCATGCTGAGGAAGAATACCGTATGAGCCATCGAACCTTGTCTTTTCTTTAGTAAAATATGAACTTTGAGAGGATATATGCGAATATTTTTCATCCAATTGTCCAGATTTTATTCGTGATTTCAATTTGGAATGTCTAAAATTTTCGAGGAAAAACGGTAGAACAATTCTTTGAAGATAAATACTTTGACAAAATCAGTTACATCCAGATGTTTGCGTGACATTCTTCTCTCGCACGCATACTGCTGTGCTATGGATGAACGCTGTATGAGCATTTAGGAGTCATCGAATTCACCTTGATAAAATATTTATTTTCGCAGTGTTGGGAATATTATACCTCGAAATTTTCAAATACTCGAACGTGGATTTCGGATGAAATTCCCTAAAAATTGGAAGTAAATTATTCGTTGGTTTTTCTCTAAATTTGCAAATTACCAATGGGAATTTTGCAACGTCTAAAGGCTTTTTACGGCGTTCTTCTTCAGCACGGTAATATAGCTATCCGGCTCATTCCGTTGCCACTTTGGCCTAAGGGCGTATCTCAATTTCAACGTGAACCCTATTTTACTTATAGATCCATGCTTCTGGGGCTCATGCAGAGATCGGGATACGCCTTTCCGTCAGACTTGCTAGCGGCGATTTGCTAGAATCCATGTACCTGGAGTTCAGTGCGTGGAATTGGATCGAAAACAAGGGGTGAGCGGCACAGTTTACGATTGGGACTGTTCGCCGCTCCTCCGATGTAAGAGCATATCTCGAATTCCGCATGAGCCCCAGAGAGCATGGATTTATATGTAAAACAAGGCTCATGTGGACATTGAGGTACGTCCTTGCGTAAGAGGGGTGACGTGTTGTGCACCAGTGCACCTGTCAAACGCGGTGGAATGTGCATGTGCAGTGCAGTGCATTCTGCGGAGGGATGAGCTAATTCACGTGGATATCAGACGTACTTTCGGTCCCGTTTTATCGGGATAATCAAAGTATTCCAGTGGCGTGGCTTGCTTTGCGATGTATTGATTGATTTGCCATTTAAACACGTGGAAAAGGATCGATAGACAGGGTGCTCGCAACGAATGCCTTAATAATCGATTCCATTCCATTGCTTCAAATGGGCTAATATCTATAATCGATCGCTCAATCGCCTTAAAAATATTCCTACCCAGTTTGATTTGTTGAAGCCTGGCTTTACGTAGTTTTGCATCATTAAGTTGATCCCACAACCCCGGTTCAGCGGTCGCCCGAAGTGCGGCCCGTAGAGCCGTCGTCGTACCATCGAGCAACAGTAGTGCTCAATAGGAGGGGCAGAACATGATGTGGAAACTTATACCTTCGTAGATACAAAACGGAGAAGTAGAATTGTTCTCTTAAAGGGTACCGGTACCCTCTAAGCTTTATTATCATTTGACGAAATGAACATGAAAACTTGCGGTTTCAGTAAAAAATCTCATGGCTGGCCTCTCACTTTCATTCACCCTACCACAATATTTTTACTCACCTCGTTCATTTGTAAACCACTAATCTCAATCGTACCTCTCAACCCAAAATAATAAAAAGCTAATCAAGATCCGGCCAGTCGTAAGCGAGTTGACGTAGCAAGGCGCGCGGTGCTCCAGAGCTGAGTTCAGCCAATCAGCAAACACCTTCGTTTCTCTCGTCTAGCTACGTCATCAGAGCCCGCCAAAAATATCGTTTCAAACGGGTCCTATTTTTGGAACGAAACTTCTTCATCATTTAGAGGTTTGAAAAAATCTGAAAAATTCACAGAAGCTCAGTTCACTCCGTGCTTTCAGAAAATGAGTGGAAAAATGGGTGCCACTGACTTGCTGCAACTCAACATTGAAAATAAAGTGCACTGAAACAAAATCTCGGTGTATTTACTAAGAAAAGGGTAAAATTACCAAGGATTCAGGGTTCTATTTGATCCCAGTTTTTTCTTGGTAAAGTTACCATTCATGGAATTGGTAATTTTACCGAGAAATATCCGTAAAATTATTGAACTCTCTCGGTAACTTTACTGGACCTTGGTAAAAACGCCAATATTTTTTATCGACTGTGCGGTAGAATTACCGAGATAAAATGGCAAAGTTACCGGGAATTGATTACCAATAAAATTGGTATTCTTACCTAAAAAAACAGTAAAAATACCGGTTTTTAGGTAAGCTTACCTCTGTCTTGGTAAAATTACCAATAATTGGTAAGAAAAGTGATATGGTAAAAGTACCAACGGACCTTGGTGAAAACGCCGAGAATTTTGTTTCAGTGTGCCGGCTGATTGTTGAAATTGATAGACAAAGCTATAGACAAAGAAGACAAAAAAGATATGGTGGAATACTATCGCAAGCGAGTGGTTGCAATGGACAAAGGAGGTACCTAATAGACTAACCAACGGCAACCCATGAGAGACCCGATAATTAATCCATCATTTTACCCTTTATATGTAGGGGCCGCAACCCTCTCAACCAAGAGGAAGAGGCTAGCTTTCTTACTCCTTATGTCTTCTTTGTCTATCGCTTTGTCTATCAATTTCAGGAATCAGCCCGCTAGACTGAAAGAATCTTAAAAATTATCTCTTCGAATCTTCAGCGATTATTCACAAAGGCAGAAACCCATCGGCAACTCTGGAAACAGCTGATAATAAGCAACATTATCATTATCAATTCCGCCGACAGACTCATCGCAGCCACCACGAAACCGTCACCTTCCGGCCAAAGTATTACAAGCGCCATGCGACGTTTATTAATTTCCACCGCCTGTTTATTTCTTTCACTAAGAAATCGTTCAACGAAGTTGCCCGACAATTTCACCAAATTTTCTTCGTGCTGCCGATAAAATTCAGTGAAATTTTCGAACAGACTCAACCAACAATTTCTCTGTAAAAAAAATAAAATGGCGGCAGAAATTTTGAAACGTCGCATGGCGCTTGGGATACTTTGGCCGGAATGTGACAAAATATTGAGCTTCAATCCTCTGTCGAAGTCCATTTCCAGCATTCTAACTAGTCGTTTGCCATTGCTTTCATAATCAAGAAATTGACAAGCGCTTTTACGAATACACACAGTTCGAGTTTGTGTAGTTTCATGTGTAGGAAGTGCATTCCCATTATATTCGAACCGCAGTAGAATTTGTTTCGTATTGATCTTTCACGGAGTGTATGGTTGAAATTCAGAAATGGTGAGTCTCTTTTTGTACACAACTAAGGAGAAATACAATTTAGTGCCAGATTTGGCTGGCCAAGCTGTAGAGACATAATCAATGACTAAAAAATCGAGCTACAAGCCGAAATAAATAATATAATATAGTTGTTTTTATAGTTGGTCTTCTAATGTTTTTGTAAGTTGTATTTTTCTAATCTACATGTATAGTTTGAAATACTATATTACATTATTTATTTCGGCTTGTTACTCGAGTTTTCAATCATTGATTGACTAGAGATTGTAACTAGACAGTCTCATTGACTAGGGAGAAATTTGTAGCTTATTCCAGCTCCTAGAGTTTAGTGTGGTGCACTTACGCTTTTAAGGACCAATTAATGTTATTGTGTTAGGATAAATGCGCAATACTTGGATTTCATCTGCTATCATTGCAGCCATTTTGAGAGTTAGTAAACTCCCTGCTTCCTTTTGCACTCATTAGGCTAAATAAAGCTGACTCAAAATTTTAGCATCGCATGTACCTATACAAACTTGCTCGCGTGTCTTCATAGTACGTAATGCCGTTCAAGTATTATCTCACGCAATACGGCCGACTTTTAACACCCTCCCTTCCCCCTTTGTAAAAAGAGGTGTTTGGATGCCCTACATGTTTTTAAGGCTAAAGTCAGAAGGAGGTGCAACCGCAAAAATCCCATCAAGTGATAATCGATATAGATAGGTTACATTTTTTCGGACACACTTTTGACTTTATTTTTTGTCAAATTAAGGCATGTTGTACAATACGGGGGTTTATGACATGCAACGCTCTGAGATTGTGCGATTAAGGTCGTATTTTACTATTAAACTTTTATTTGTGCATTCGAAATAATTTGCGAGAAAACTGACCAAAAATTCAAATAATAATGGAGGATAACACTACTTTTGAGTGGTCATTGGAATTGACACAGGATTGCACAGCAGCGATAAATGCCAGCAACGCCCTTATTGCACAAAATTCTTCAATTAACTTCAAAAGTAACTCATATATTCTTGTGACCTAAATGTTCTTTCTCTAGACCGATTTTTCTTAAAAACAGCCGAATAAAACTCAAAATTGAACCGATTATTTTCCAAATCACACAAGCGCCAATCTCTATTTTTTTGGTGGCGGAGGAGTTGTTTTCTCTTTATTTTCTCTGGTATAATCAATCATGTCTGATTTCAATACAGCCTTCTAAAAGGACATACATTTTTTTAACTCGAAGAATGTCAACAAAGCGAATGAAACGGTTTTTCTTGTTTTTTTTTCGCATTCGCAATTTTGGCGCTTACGAGATTTGAAAAGCGATCGGTTCAATTACGGCGTTAGGGTTTTTTTTTTGGCTACAATTAAAGAAAATCTTCTTGTAAGAGTTTAACAAGGCTTAATAACTGCCCTCGATAATTTACGTAGCGTGCATACAGTTGGAGAGACGTGTTTCCCTAAGATTTTTGCGAATGTCTCTTAAAAGTCAACTTTTAAAAAAGTTTTTTTACCCTGGTAAAAATTGACGATAAGAGCTGCGTTTCAAAACACCATAGGAATTCTTATAGCCGGCTACCGAAAATCATATAGCTGGCTGTAGAATGCGGAGAAAATCATACGGCCGGCCTATACGAAGCGATAAAAAATTATGCAGCCGGGCTATAGTTCCTATAGCCGGGCTTTACACTTTATCGCCTGGCTGTTGCTTTTTCGCCATCGATTATGAAAGCTATAAGATATTGTGTAGAAATTTTTGTGCACAAGTTATATTCTCCTTTAATACATATTTTTTTTCATCAATTAAAACGAGAATAATCCATACGGGATGTGCATACATTTCAAAATCATGAGTTGAATAACGCTGACTCCGCCAGATTAAATATTAGAGCCTAACACAAAGCGGAGCGGCGACGCATTGGCGCCTTCAAACCTAACAGGGATACTTCACGCGTTGCGCAATGCGTGAAGTATCCCCGTTAGGTTTGTAGGCGCCAATGCGCGTTTCGCGCTGGGTGCCCTCCTGCCACACCGCAGCGTGCCACGGCGCGGCGCTTGAAGCAACTATTTCACACCAGAGGTATTGCACAGTATCATACGAAACTGAAAGCGCTCTAATATATTAGGAATGGCAGGCATCTATCAAAAGTGCGGAGCTTTCCTCGCAAAATAAATCAAGATACTACGGCCCAAAAAGAGAGCAATGGTCCAAAAACTCACTAAGTCCTAGCATCCGTAATTAGTGACGTCTAGCATACACTTTATCGCCTGGCTGTGAGTTGCTTAGTCGCCATCGGCTATAAAAGGCTATAAGAAATTGTGTAGCCGGCTATAGAAGCTATTGGAAATCTTACAGCCGACCGTAGGTCCATGGTATTTTGGAACACAGATTCTACTGCCAATTTTAACCAGGGCAACTATGAGCGCATCATCTAACTGAAACCAAACCAGGATTAAAATGTGTCCTAAAGCCTCCTTGATAACATATCAAAAGTTGGTGTTAGTTAAACGATGCGCTCGGTGTCAAAAAAGCCTCGGAGTGATAGAAAAACACGCATTCTCGCTTAAATGCGCCTGCAGACGTATGTTCAGGCAACCGTTTAACACGTATCCAGAGGCCTATGGACCAAATCATGATGATTTCCGTATTCTACGTGGAGCCATAAAAGGCCCTTATCGATATCCCTCCTTTTAGGAATCCAGAAGGGTCGCATTTCATTATCTTCTGTGTATCTCCTCTCTGTTTCAGACACCATCGTTCCCAAAGACTGGCACTGCCGTTTTAGCGGAGATTCTAGTTTTCTTCGACCGAAAGTCATTATCGTGGGAGCGCATCGAATCGGAGGAAAACTTGAAGTCAGGCGATGAAACCAAGCCCGGCGTTAGTTCTCACTTGAGACAACCCCGAAATGAAGAAAAGAAATACGCATTGGTCCCGTCTCAACTAGTTGAACATCATCCGATCTTCGAGTGTCTGCGTTCCAACGATGTTGAGATAATGAGCGATCAAACTAAATTCCAGGCAAACGCAAAGTACGGCCTGTGTATGATTTTGACACCTGTGAAACCGTATCACCGGGAAGAGGGAAAAGTCGCGCTTTACGTAAATCAGTTCGGTTCAGAAGAAGACTTCAGAAAACTCTTGCCACTGAGCGAACAGTGGTCCAGCGAGGAGATTATTGGAATTCGCGAATTGCAAACCTACTGCTCCCGTAGAAACATTTTGAGTGCCATGGATGAAAAGGGTTTAGCCGTCGTTGAAGAATTCCTCATTCTTGGCATTTCCGTTGTATACAAGCCGTATAATTCCTACTCCACTCCCAGCGGCGATTCGTTTCTAAGTTTTGCTATTACCCTCCATCATAACTTGCTGAGCGAGCGGCTAATAAAAAAAGGAGTTTCCGCCGCAGAAATTGAAGAGGCTTTTTCTGCTGTGCTGGACACTGTCAATGTAGATATGGCCGAACTGCTCTTAAAGCATGGAGTGGGCATGGAAAAAACAAGAGCGTTGCATTATACCGTTGATGAAAATAATTGGCCTATGACTGAATTTTTATTAAATCATGGAGCGCAAGTGAATGCTAAACTACCAACAGATAAAAAGGAGACTGCGCTTCATTTCAGCACGCGCCGCCAATATTTGGAAATTATGTCAGTGCTCCTCGGAAGTGGTGCTGATGTCAACGCCACTGACAACGATCTGAAAACTCCTTTGCACTACGCGATGGAAAAATTGAATTGTCAAGAGTCTATCGACATTCTACTGAGATTCGGAGCCCACTGTATTTTTGAGGACTTTTTGAGACTGGCATCCAATATGAGCTACGACTCGTTCCCTTTCGAGCTTGACTTTTATGAAACCTTTCAGGTCCCTCTTAATATTTCTTTCTCTGATGTTAATGTCACCCGGACATCCGAGGTTCAAGAATACATCGATAAACTTCTTCATCCCACCGTAGACTTGTTCGATGTATTCCGTAATAATAGTGAGGAAAAACTTCCCGCTTACATGACTTTCCTTAAAATGTTCGCTTGTCAAATCATTAAAATCGAAGTAGCATATGGCTCGGTGGGCCCAAAGATACCAAGAAGAGCCTATGAATATTTTCAGCTGGATGTCTTTAAGAATGACTGCATACAGGAAATCCAGAACTTGAAAAGTGACTTTGTCGTTGAAGAAGTAAGTCTTTTTGAGATTATGACACAAAGTACCTCAGGCATCCTTAAGAATAACATCGTCTACAAAAATTTGAAAACATTTACCGCAGAGACATATTCAATCTATGGTGATATTTTGAAAAGTAAAATCACCGAGGGATTTAGGAGGAAACGGGTCTCCAAAGTAGCTTCAAAAATACTTGAATTTCTATTTCCGCAGTTTACCGATCTACCATGGTTCCTCCAAGATAAAATAGTCAAATATATAAATAATCAGGATATTCTTATTCTAACAAATGCATTTAGCTGGGAACAGTTAGACGCGCTCACAGAGTTCTTCAATTGTTGGATGGTTTCTTAATATTTCATTTCCCTTGTTTCTTTCTTTTTTTTCTTTCCTTCACATCTATTCAAAAAATATTATATTAAATACGCATAACATTCGTGTTGGCGGAGGACATCGGGGTGCCTTTCGACATTTTGGATCTTTCATTAGTTTTGTAGTATATCTCAGTCAAATATTTTTTCGTTTTCTGAATTCAAATTTTCACCCATGAATTAATGTTACTGGTACTTGGAACCAAAATGACGCACGAATTGAAGTACTGAATTATTATTTCTATCCGTGATTTACTTGATAACATCTTCGGAAATTCGCACTTATAAAATCAGTAAAATCAGTTTACTCCTTCAACTACTTCTAATTTATCACTCGAGGGACAACCAAATTTTCCGATTTCTTGTAAGTTTCTGATCTACTTAAGTCAGCCATCGGAACTGAAACCAGAACCTAATTCTGTACGCACATTTGGATACCTTTGCAGATGGATCTTCTTCAGTGGCGTGGCGTGCTTTGCGATATATCGATTGATATGCCATTTAAACCTATGGTAAAGAATCGATTATTAAGGTGTTCGCTGCGAACACCCTGATTATCGATCCTTTTCCATAGGTTTAAATGGCATATCAATCGATATATCGCAAAGCACGCCACGCCACTGATCTTTTTTCGGCTCCGTACATTAATACTTGATTAGGGCTGTTCTATCGAAATACTTTCAAGTACATGCATGGCTCAGCGAGTATTTTATAATGTTATGTTGTATATGTATAATATTGTATTCTTCTTCATATTTTTTATACGTCACTAGAGAGTGTTTATCACATTTTCCACCCGTATTTTCCCTTCATTCCCCTTTGAATCATTATTCGTAAGTAATTCTGGAGTTAATATCGATTATAGGAACAAAAAAATTTGTAAAAGAATTTTTAAAAATCTTGAAAATGAAAAGGACACATTATTGAAAAAAGAGGAAAGGAAGGAGGAAGACGGATTTTTCGACGAAGGTGACGCATTTTTGCCGTGTGTTGATTTAGAGGACGCATGTATTACAGAAAGTTGTAGATCGTTTTCGTAGATGAACGAATGGGTGCAATATGGAATGTTCAGATTACAAGCTTTTGTATTCGTTAAAACGGTTGAGGTCTCCTATAAAAATTAAAAGAAAAGAAGTATTTAAGGGGCATTTTTGGGATTTTGAGGCATAAGTGTTTTTTTATTGAGTAACATTGAGGATTACAGCTCAAAGAAGGTTAAACTGATCTCACGAGAAACTAAAAATTGAATTTTTTGGGTCAGTATTTACTTTGAAATAAAATTACTCAAAAATCTCAACCCTAATGTGACTCACGCCTCTCATTCTGTCTTACTGAGTAAAAACGCTGTATGAGCCTTTAGGCGGTGCCAAATTTCTTTTGATAAAAAACGGGCTTCCAGATGAACCAATGAATGTGTTTTTTCCAAGTTTTCCGAGAATTTTATTCGCAATTTCTCTTGAAGTTCCTAAAAATATCAAGGGGAAATATTCATATTTCTCCGTAAAGATAAACGTTTCGTGAGACGAAATTTAGCACCTCTCAAACGTTCAAACAGCGTTTTTCCTTAGCAGCATTAATTTCTCATAATCGCATCATTCTGCAGATCCATTCAAATTACTTCGAAGTGATTTTCGTGGAAATTTCATTAGATTAAAGCCTGCATTTGGTTGTTGGCCGAGGCAATTGCGTTGATTAAGGGCGGAGAAAAATCTGTTGGATTGTTCCAACGCGGTCCGGACTATCGCGGTTTTGATCGTTAGCGCCGTCGGGTGACAATGGCGTCGCACAGTGGATCGAGTCGATTGGAGAGGTCGGACATGGAATTTTTTATTTGAACTTTTAAGTTTGTATCGTCATATTTTAAATTACAAGGGGTGCTTTTGGAAGAATATTATACGCGGCAACCAATGGATCCACCTTTAGAACCTCAAACTTTACATATACGGAGTTAAAAGCTTTCTAAAGTTTCCACATTTGGACGTATTTAAATCAAAAGGCAGTATATCCATTGTGGCATGAGCCCTGTCGTGCGTGTATTCTTATTGATCTCAGGGCTCATGTCGGAATGGATATAGCTCCTTTTGATTTAAATACGTCCATTTTGTCCGACCTCTCCAATGGAGATGTTGCATGTGTGAGGAATTTGCGATTTGACCGTTGATTCTCATGTAAAAGTTCGCGAGAAACACGATGGTACCACTGATTTTCTCTGAAATCAACTCCCAAGCTCAAAAAAAAGCTCTCAAGTTGAGGCCAAAAAGGAGGGGATGGGGATCCCATGATATCCTGAGAGTCCACCTCTACATCAAGACAAACTCTCCATGCAAAGATAGGGAGCAAATACATTGACAGGGCTGCCACTTTATTCGGGGACTCCAAAACTGAAAACACGGCATCACTGCTAATGTATTTGCTCCCTATCTTTGCATGGAGAGTTTGTCTTGATGTAGAGGTGGACTCTGAGGATAGCGTGGGATATCCCCTCCATTTTAGCCTCAACTTGAGAGCTTTTTTTGAGCTCGGGAGTTGATTTTAGAGAAAACCAGTGGCTCCATCGTGTTTCTCGCGAACTTTTACATAAGAATCAATAGTTAAATCGCTAATTCCTCACACATGCAAAATCTCCATTGAACCGGTCCACTGTGCGGCGTCGGGTAACAATGGCGCCGCGTTTAGGGCATTGTGTCCCGCGAAACAATAGCCGTAGCGCGGTTTTGGAAAGAGGTTACTGAACCATCGATGTCACGTTGGAAATTCGGTCAATTTCACTGCAGCGTAACGGACGAGCCCGCGACATTTCGGACGACTTGGCCAAGTGATTAAACGAGCTGCTCGATAAAGCAACCTCAAAGTGCTCAGAAATCTCTGGAAGAGATTCAAAGAGCGTCGGTTTCGGACCGAAAGTCTCGCCCCAAACATATTCGAAAGCTAACTTCGTCGCTGGTCTGACGAAAGGGCGTATCTCAATTTCCACGTGAGCCCCGTTTTGCATATGAACCCATGCTTTTTAGGGCTCACGTCAAAATTGAGATACGCTCTTACGTCAGAGGAGCGACGACTTGTTGCCGGCCTTTCGGGAAGCTGGTGCGGAGCAACCAAGCAAATTTTCCTCCCTGTGTTGATTTGGACCACGTGAAGCAGAGAGGAACCAAGCCACATCAGCTATTGTCAAATTCAATTGAGTACTTAGATGAAAACAGTTGCGCAGATTTCTGTGCAAATTTCAGTAAATCAGTGCGTAGCAAATTTCTTAAAATTTTCAAAGGAATCTCCACAAACGTTCTATTGTAAAAAATTAAATTGCCCACCCTGGTAAAAATTGGCGATAGGAGCTGCGTTTCAAAACACCATAGGAGTTCTTATAGCCGACTAAAGAAAGCTATCGAAAATCATATAGCTGGCTGTAGAAAGCGGAGCAAATCATATAGCCGGGCTGTACGAAGCTATAAAAAAGTGTACAGTCGGGCTATAATTCCTATCGCCGGGCTTTACACTTTATCGCCATTGGCTATAAAAGGCTACTAGAAATTGTGTAGAAATTCGTGTGCTTTGGAAATCATTAAGTTTGATACGGAACTACCTTAATATTTACAAAACACACATTATACTTTCCTTTAAAACATTTTTTTTTTCATCAATTAAAATGAGAATAGTCCATACAGAGTGTGCAAACATTTCAAAATCATGAGTTGAATAACGCTGACTCTGCCAGATTAAATATTAGAGCCTAACACAAAGCGGAGCGGCGACGCACTGGCGCCTACAAACCTAACAGGGATACTTCACGCATTGCGCAATGCGTGAAGTATCCCTGTTAGGTTTGTAGGCGCCAGTGCGCGTTTCGCACTCTCTGACAGCCCGCCACGCCGCAGCGTGCCACGGCGTCTGAAGCAACTTTTTCACACCAGAGTTATTGCACAGTATCATAAAAAATTGAAGGCGCTCCAACATATTAAGAATGACAGGCATCCTTCAAAAGTACGGAGCTCTCCTCGCAAAATAAATCAAGATACTACGGCACAAAAAGAGAGCGGTAGTCCAAAAACTAACTAAGTCCTGGTATCTGTATTTAGTAACCTTTAGCATAAACTTTATCGTCTAGCAAAAGTGCGAGAAGAAAAGAGAATTCAAGATTCGGGTCTAGCAATCGAAAATAATTTTACTCGACGTGAAATAATCATAATTCTGTATGTTTTCATTCGCCAGGGTATGCGACACTTTTGGTGGACATTTGATGATAAAAGAAAAGTAAATTCAAATAGTCTGAATAATTTAACAAAAATAAACAGAGTAAAAAGGGAAACCAAGGCTAGAGAAAAAAATACCTGAAAAGTTCCGGGGTGGTTTCAACCACCGTTTTGGCAAGGAAACAAAAATAGTCATACAAAAAAATCAACACAAATCGAAAACCCTTAGACCCCATTTGTGATAGCAGAAAAGAGATACATAAAAAGATAGTTTTTATTTTTATCTCCTGGTTAAAAGGGGGTTGAAACCACCCCAAAATATTCCAGGCATTTTGCTTGTTTTCATATTCTTGGTTTTCATTTTCATGTGTTAGTTTCTGCACGGAAAAAAAAATTGCTGATTCAACAATTCAATTGCTAAAAACAGTGAGTGCAATGTTTCAACGCAGATTTTACAACAACAAAAATGCTACTTTAACCACATTGTAAACTAATTTAACCACGGGGGTGGTTAAAGTAGCATTTTTTTGTTGTAAAATCTGCGTTGAAACATTGCACTCACAGTTTTTAGCAATTGAATTGCTGAATCAGCAATTCTTTTTTTTCCGTGATGTTCCTTAATATTTAGCGCCAATAAAACGTTTTTTCAACTAATAAAGAGATATGATTGCAAGTAGCTACGTTTGATATTAGTTATCCCAGGTCCTGGCGATCTCGCTCGACCTTTTTTAAAACCTGGACGTGTTCCCATTCTCCTCGCGAGCGTCGAGCAGCTGCATCGATTTTAATCTTCTAATGGTGGTCAGTTCGGGAGAAAAAAAAACAAGCGGAAAATGAAAGCGGAGGAAGCGAAGTTTGCGAGCTCACTCCTGTTGGGATTTTTTTTCACGTTTCTTAATCAAGCGTCGAGAGCACGCTTGCAGCTCGTTCGAGCGGCCCTAACCGCAGATATAACTCCGATTAATTTGCGACCTCCTTCAAAAGTTCTCTGCATTGGAAGTTACAATTCGACGGTGAAACTACCAAACCACGTATCTCGTTTGCGGTGTTTAAAAATCTACGCTCGCATTTCATTTTTTTGAAGGAAACCAAATCAATATCATTCCTTGAAATTTTCACAGAATTTTCTCGACAGGAAGAGGAAAAATCACAGAAATTTTCAAGACTGGACGTTAAGTAGTTTTTCATTTAAAAAATAAAGTATGAAAGGAAGTCTGCGACGTCGCAAACCGAGATACGTGGTTTGGTAGTTTCACCGTCGAATTAATGTTTAATAATTGACAAAAGTTAGGATTTCCTGCTGAAACCACTGGCAACACTACCCGTGATATTGAGAACTTCTTCACTCCAGCGAGCCGATTATTGAAAGTTTAAGGCAGCCCGATAAGACATCGCATTGCGATATACAACGAGGTTAAGATAGGGCTATGTCTTGTCATGTCAGGCCGACATAATAGAGCTACAGGTGTGTTTTTCCAACAATGGATCAGTTGCGCTGGTCACAGAATCGTGTTTTGATGTTTGATTCTTGTAGATAAGTTCAAAAATAATAAGATCTGCTCTAACAGCAACTTTCTGCGTTTCATATTGACCGAGACGTCGTGCTTTGAAAAGTTCGGTTTATGATGTCATCCACCGCGGTAGTGACACCCTTGGCCACCTCAACCTAGCATTTATCCGAGTTTCACGTTGGAAAACCAGTGCAAATGTCTGACTGATGAAAACAAGTTTGAAGAAATCAAGGGTGTGCGGTGGATGACGTCAAAAACCCGACTCTTCAAAAGGCGATATCTCTGTTAATATTCAACGTAGAACGTTGCTGTCTTAACGGATCTTATTATTTTTAGCTAATTTACAAGAATTAAGCATCATAAAACGATTATGTGTCCGGCACAGCTGACCTATTGCCCAGCACCTCCTAGCACCTCCTTAACCTATTTCAAACCTCTCACCGCGTTCTTCAATTTAGAATTGAAGAATTCACTAAGAGACCGACATGTAACCTCGTGGTAACACTTACGTAAAAACTGCAAAAAGGACGCAACTGGCCCGATGATTTCGAAGTAAAATCAGGTCCATGCTTAGCAAACTCGATTTGCTGGAACTTGGACCTAAAACCCATATCAGCTCGTTCTTACGACTTCAACAACCAGAGGCTGCGTTTGATCCTGTCGTTCCCTCAGGAACGAAAATCGGATAGCGTCTTGAAGAAACTCGATCCCTATAACCACCGTGTGCGTGATTGGCTTTTTGAGTCCTCGAAGGAACCACCCCGACACATTCTTGGTTCCGATCCGATACAAAATTCCGGCAGCAGTTGCATGACCAAACGACAGATAGCTTTCGAATGCAAAAAGAGTTCCATCCTTCCTTCGGATGACCACGTCAATGTCAGTCTTATCCTTGGGGCTAGTTCCGAACGGAAAAAATCGAAAATATACCTCTGGGAATATTTCTGGTTTCCAGCTTGGGTAAACAAAGAGCGGTGCGCTGTATTCTCGCTCAAAATCTTTCACAGGCGAGATTATGGGTTTGATAGATTTTGCAAGGCGCGCGCAGCTATTTCCGAAAGACCGGTTGCTAGTCAAGTCGAAAATGCTCAGCGCGTCTAAATAAGTCTTCGCCTTTGCCCGTATTTCACTTGCTTCCTTCAGTGTGTCCTCTTCTCTAAGATTTTTTAGTTTGTCATCTGATAGGTCTTCTGTGTTGAAATGGATGGACTCGGCTGGTGAACAGAACATGTCCTGTAATAGAACCACACAGGCCCAAAAGATGGATTAGGATCATAAGCGTAATTAGTTTCTTTTTCTGGGGAGCAGGGACTGGCCCTCTATCACCAGGTCCGTGGGGCCCTCCTTGGGAAATTTTTAAAATTTGAACTCATTTGGACGCATTTTAAGGCTAGCAAAACGCAAAATTTCCATTCATTTCTGCACAGGTTTTATGCTGATTTAGGTATTCTTAGCTCAAAATAATTTCGAATTGTTGGATTTAATAGATTTTCAGGTTTCCCCTCCATCCAGAATTTTTGGGGGGAGGAGGGGCCAAATGATACTATTTGTAATGGTAATGGGGGCCAGGCCTCCCTGGAATCCCCTAGATACAACCATGATTAAGATAGTCCTATTAGACGAAATAATGACTCCTATATCATTTCGTATTTTCTCGTCTTTCGGTGATACAAAAGACAGCACCTTTAAATAGCCGAGTAAAGAGAGAAACCGTACACGCAATCTGGCCTGTAACGGCGCGGCGCAGAGAGCAATGATGACGAGGACTTGAGAGGAAAAGGAGAAGCCCTCGGCGCGGCGGTCGGCATGTAACACATATAAGCGCCTGCATAACTGCATAGATACTTCACGCATTGCGTCAAACAGTGCGATCAGCAGCAATCGGCGCGAAACGCATAGCGCCTACAAGACTGAAAGAATACTTCACGCATTGCGTCAAACGTCAGTGCGGTCAGCGCGGCACGGCGGCGGCGAAAGTTAAGATTATTAAACTACATTTATGTTTATTATTTCATAATTTTTTCGTTCACGGAATGGAAGGCTTATGAATGAAAGGCCTCGTCCACATAGAGATACAATGACTCCTATCATTATGGATGAATTTTCATTCCTCCATGACTAATGGCGTCGGCTATGAATGGGTACGGGAGATCATGGATCCAGACAGACTATCGTGCATGACATTATGATGAAAAAATGTATATATTACAGTGTTGTTCAGAGGACGGCAGGAAACAGGTTGCCGACGAAGGTCTTACGTGGGGTTCCTCCGAGGAAGGGACGCAAAGGGCGCCCAGTGAGAGGGTAGAGGGATGGAAATGAAGCGGCAATGTTAGGGCGCTCGATGCCTGAAGGGTTCGACAGGGGAAAATTTCGGTTCGATGTCGCAGAGCGCTATAATGCGGCGCATGTATCTATACAGGGTGATCCAAAAGTCCCTTCCACCCCCTCTAACTTTTTACCTAATTGAGGTAAAGATTTGAAACTTGGGGGATATTCCTAGGTCAAAGGGAGCTACTTTTTGGCCCCCCTAAAATGTTCAGGGGGGCCCCCTTGGGGGGCAACGGCCCCCAACTTTTAATTTTCAAATGGGAAGACCCCCTTTGTGATAGCTCGTTCGAAAGAGCATAAAAAAAGAAAACTTTTCGCGCAAACCCGAAGTCAATATCTCAAACCGTTTCAAAATGGCGGCCGGTTAAAGTTCAAAATGGCCGAAAATTCACACCGGTTATTTGTCGATGGATTTGCGCGAAAATCGGTATGTAGGGGTATTTTGACACGAAAAAAACGAATTTGACGTTAGATTTTAAAAAAAAAAAACCAAAATTTCCAAAATGGCCGCCGGTCAAAGTTTAAAATGACCGAAAATTGTCACCTCGGTTTTTTGCTGATGGATTTGCCTAAAACTTGGAATTTGAGAGTATTTTGGCATAAGATAAACAAATTTGAACTTAGATTTCTAAAAAAATCAATTTTTTGTCATTTTGAACTGTAACCGGCGGCCATTTTGGAAATTTCGGTTTTTTTGAAAATCTAACGTCAAATTCGTTTTTCTTGTGTCAAAATACCCCTGCATACCGATTTTCGCGCAAATCCATCGACAAATAACCGGTGTGAATTTTCGGCCATTTTGAACTTTAACCGGCCGCCATTTTGAAACGGTTTGAGATATTGACTTCGGGTTTGCGCGAAAAGTTTTCTTTTTTTATGCTCTTTCGAACGAGCTATCACAAAGGGGGTCTTCCCATTTGAAAATTAAAAGTTGGGGGCCGTTGCCCCCCAAGGGGGGCCCCCCTGAAAATTTTAGGGGGGCCAAAAAGTAGCTCCCTTTGACCTAGGAATATCCCCCAAGTTTCAAATCTTTACCTCAATTAGGTAAAAAGTTAGAGGGGGTGGAAGGGACTTTTGGATCACCCTGTATGTCTTCATTCTTTGCGGAGGGAACAATTTTTACCGGCGTTCGAGGTGGCTAGGTAAAGTTCAAGTCGTTAGACCAAAAAAACAAAGAAGTACGAATCTGAGAAAAAAGAAATAGGATGTTAACGGAAACCAAACTTAGGTTATTTGCTGTTTTTTTCTCTGCGTACGTCACCACTTCTGGATACTTTGAAATGATGCCACTTCTCGGTACATCGAAACTATTAAATGGGGACTAATTGAAAGAGCCAGTGGCGAAGCGTGAATCATTGATTATCGATATTTCCCTTTTTGATGCTACGGTAAAGACTCGATTATTAAGATGCTCGTTGCGAACTCTCTATTATATCGATCCTTTCCCATCAGTTTAAATGACGGATCAATCCAGTGGCGTGGCGTGCTTTGCGATATATCGATTTATCGGCCATTTAAACCTATGGAAAAGGATCGATAAACAGGGTGTTCGTAGCGAACACCTTAATAATCGATTTTTTACCATGGCTTTAAATGGCACAACAATCGATATATCGCAATTCACGCCACGCCACTGGATCAATCGATAAATCGCAAAGCACGCCACGTCACTGGAAAGAATGATTGTGTATGATAAGACTGGATGTCTGTTTTAAGGTTCAACATCTAAAACAATATTAATGGTTACACCCTAAATAAAAGTTAACAACTTTAGTTATTTAGGATGGCACCTCAAATCAGATGTTATAGGCTGTAGAGGTGTGTAGCCGCCTTAAAACAAAACATGTTTCTACCTTTTGTTACTTTACGATTATGGGTTATGATATAGCACAGCTGGCTGACCGACCAATCGTGGATGAGAGGTTGGGGATATTAATGGTGTCATCATTGCCAACATCGGAACCTGTTCAAACCCTTTGTCTATCCCTTTTATTTCTGCATGCTTAAAATAAACGTATGCATAGATTTCACTTACCAAAATGGTGATTAAACAAAACAGTGCGCTCATGAATTTCACCTTCATCATGAATTTCTTTGAAAATTATATATCAGGAGATGAAAGCGTGACAAAGAAATAAGAAATTGAACTTAAGCGTACAGTGCATTCACCCGCCACAAATAAAGTTTGGGATCACACCATGCTCCCAACTACAATCAATTGAAATGAGGAAAGAAAATGAAGGAAGAGTCTGTGACTCATGTTGAAATTTGACAACTCTGCTTGTTTCCCGTAAAATTTTAATCTTTTCATCCGATCGAAATCCGATGACGTCATAGTGGAGCGTAGGGTACACGTATGATAAAAAATTAGCTAGACTAGACTTTTTAGGACGCTCATTCGATCTCAGGCCCATCTTGATTAATTAAATGTTTCTCTTTCGTTCAAACGTCCAAACGATAATTTTAAAAAAATTAAAAAATTAATTAACTTAATTTAAAAGCATTAAAATTATCAGCTCAAAAATTCAGGAATAGTTTTGTTGAGGCCTCCCCCATCATGGTCACAAATATATCCACACCAGACCTATGATCTTACTGAACAACGACTTCCTCCTCACTAGATCTAACAGCTACTACAAAATATTTGATTTGCTAATGATATATCTTACCTTGACATGGACGAATAAAAATACAATTTGCTGCTTGGTGGCCTCTTAATCCGCGTTAGATCACCAGCACTCCAACGTTAAAATTTTACGCGGCTTAAAAAAATATGGTTGAAAAGCCTTACGGTAACATCGGAACACTAAATCTGAATAGCCATAAATCCGGATGCTATTTTCTCACTGCTTCGAGGGACACAACCGTTGAAAAATAACGAGAGAGAACGAAGATTCGAAAAACGACAACAAGAACCGGAAAAAACAAGAACAAGGACGCGAAAATCGACACGAAACAAAACACTGAGATCCGAATAAATTTGTCGGACTTAAATTAAATAACGACGAAACGGCGAAAATAACAAATGCGTAACTCGGATTAATGTGAAAGACACTGGATAAATTGGATTACTTGGTCGCGAGGAGTAAAAAATGCTCGAAAGACTTCATTGGATTTAGCCGCGCACTTTTTTATTATTATTATTTTTCTAACACCACAAAAATCAATCGAGAATCGAATTTTTTACACGTAGATATCATTTTAGAATGTGAATATCACAAGAAGTTCTGGCACGTCCAATAATGCTGCGGCACTAACTCCGAAACTACAACCTGCAACAAAAGAAAATCCATCGATTAGAGCGACAATGAACCGAAATATTTCCGAGGCAAAGTTTGGCTGATTAAAGTTAAAAACGCATGCCTAGGTTAAATTTTTTCAAATCTATTTGATCTGTTGAAAGAAAACCCGAATAAAATCAGAAAAAAATACAGAGCAAAGTTCTAATAAGTTCCCCCTGGGAAAATTAAATAATTTAAAAAATCTGCTGCGTTTCAATTATTTCAGATAATTGTGTCTGTTAAGTTTTCCACTGACGATGTATGAAAAATATGAGCTGAGTGGAAGAGGATGATATCCAAACACTAACTACTTCGAAATTTAACTTCATACTTCAGATATATTCTTTGTCCCGTTTGAAATATTCTATTGTCACGAGGAAAAAAAGATAATATTATATTACATTTCCTCCTCCAGGGGAAATCAAGAGTTTAAAACTGGCACTGACACCAAATACCGAAAGTCGTGAACATGAGACAGTAGAGAAGAAAATAAGACTAAGAAGGCTCTGAATTTGAATTCAGACTGTGCTCTTATTTTGGCATTTCGCCGTCAGTATGCAGTTGAATCCTTGTCCTAGGTCAGCATACGAAGTTTTTTTTATCACACAGAGGCGTCTTTCAGAAGGCCAAAAGGGTAATTATACCCCTCTCCCCCTTCACTCGAAGGTATAAATTATCGTTTTATTCGGAGTTTTTAAGATTCCAAATAATTCGAGTTAGTCTTCGCGAATATTCAGGGTGATCCAAAAGTCCCTTCCACCCCCTCTAACTTTTTACCTAATTGAGGTAAAGATTTGAAACTTGGGGGATATTCCTAGGTCAAAGGGAGCTACTTTTTGGCCCCCCTAAAATTTTCAGGGGGGCCCCCCTTGGGGGGCAACGGCCCCCAACTTTTAATTTTCAAATGGGAAGACCCCCTTTGTGATAGCTCGTTCGAAAGAGCATAAAAAAAGAAAACTTTTCGCGCAAACCCGAAGTCAATATCTCAAACCGTTTCAAAATGGCGGCCGGTTAAAGTTCAAAATGGCCGAAAATTCACACCGGTTATTTGTCGATGGATTTGCGCGAAAATCGGTATGCAGGGGTATTTTGACACAAGAAAAACGAATTTGACGTTAGATTTTCAAAAAAACCGAAATTTCCAAAATGGCCGCCGGTTAAAGTTCAAAATGACAAAAAATTGATTTTTTTAGAAATCTAAGTTCAAATTTGTTTATCTTATGCCAAAATACTCTCAAATTCCAAGTTTTAGGCAAATCCATCAGCAAAAAACCGAGGTGACAATTTTCGGTCATTTTAAACTTTGACCGGCGGCCATTTTGGAAATTTTGGTTTTTTTTTTTAAAATCTAACGTCAAATTCGTTTTTTTCGTGTCAAAATACCCCTACATACCGATTTTCGCGCAAATCCATCGACAAATAACCGGTGTGAATTTTCGGCCATTTTGAACTTTAACCGGCCGCCATTTTGAAACGGTTTGAGATATTGACTTCGGGTTTGCGCGAAAAGTTTTCTTTTTTTATGCTCTTTCGAACGAGCTATCACAAGGGGGGTCTTCCCATTTGAAAATTAAAAGTTGGGGGCCGTTGCCCCCCAAGGGGGGCCCCCCTAAAAATTTTAGGGGGGCATAAAGTAGCTCCCTTTGACCTAGGAATATCCCCCAAGTTTCAAATCTTTACCTCAATTAGGTAAAAAGTTAGAGGGGGTGGAAGGGACTTTTGGATCACCCTGTTTATTAATTACTCATCTTTGTCTTTTCCCGCGAATATTCTCGCTTTCCGCTCCACATACTAAATATTCATACTAGACCGTAAAATAAGAGGTCGCAAACTTCCCAATAGTGGCTCAGTATTGCTCATAACAAAATTATTAACATGTCAATAGTCTTCACTACGAGAAAATCAAAATATCAACAAATATGTATTCACCAAATCAATACACACGTTGGAGGTAATTAAAAATGTCCGGCAATTTGAAAGCAGTTCAAGCGTTCTTTCGATAAATCGCATTAATGCGCATCGGCATTGGCACACTAACGGTTTGACGGATGAAGACCTTCAAAAACATGATCTCATCTTGGAGCGCCTTCATCTTGTGTGATACTCCACACATTACCGCGGAGTTAGTTTAGTTGCTTGTCCGATCTGAACCCAACTTACGTCACGGATCTCTGTACACGCTCTCCAAAGTGTGCTTTCAACTACCATATTTTTACGGCGGAAAACGTGTCTATCCACATTAAAAGCAGCAAATCCGAATTCTAAACTTATTCCTTTATTTCTGATTTGTATGCTATTCTTTCCATTCACTAGCGGCTTGAAAATTGCCTGCAAAGTTGCAATCCTGAGATTGCAACATTCCCTCTCCTGTGCGCTCAGTGTACCACACGTCGGGATACCTCAAGGTAGTAAAATACTGGAGTACATTTTGAAAGGAAGTACCCCTCGTTCACAACTCAATGAAACATCACTTATATTTTAATGGGGACTTAAAACGGCAATCATTCCGCAAAATTTTGAGACTGAGACTACCAGACTCCTCCCGGGTCCACCAGTGGCGTGGCGTGCTTTGCGATAAATCGATTGATCTGCTATTTAAACCTGTGGAAAAGGATCGATTATTAGGGTGTTCGCAAATAATCGATTCTTTACCATAGCTTCAAGTGGGGAAATATCGATATATATCGAGGCACGCCACGCCACTGGGGTCCATCTCGGTTGTAAAACGTTTGCGAGAAGAGCTTTTGTTTTAGCCTGGTTATTAGCCATTCTGCCGTGCTGAGAAGAAACGCCTTATGAACCTTCAAACGTTGCCAAATTTCCCCCGATAAAACATGTATTTTTGAAGAAAATTATGTATCTTTTCTCTCGTTTTCTCAGATAATTTAGATTACATAGCGAATAAAATTATCTGAAAATTTTAAGGAAGAATATTCACAATTTTCCCGGTGAATTCGTTTTTTTATTGAAGGGAATTCGGCAAAATCTGAAGGCTCTTAAAGCGTTTTTCCTTAGCACGGCAGTGTAAGCATCCAGACAGAGGAACGACCCTGTTGAGGCGGTTGCAAGAGCGATGGAAGAGCTAATTGGGAAAGCGTGTGGTCGTTGTTCGATGGTGCTCTAATTTCGTAAATGCTGTTGTAAGAGCCGTTTTCGGGATTTCAGCTCAATGGCATTACCTCGTTGCACGGATGCTCAAAGCTCATTTAGTGCTCAGTAGCCGAATTTTCCCTGCTCATTAACGGACTCGAGAGTTGTAAGCGGGCTCGAGGGCCGAGCATTAAAATCGGAACAGAAGGATAAAAGAAGGTGTATTCGATGCAGTCTAGGTCCCTCTAACGTCAGTGCAACAGGATATAATGGATACAGGCTGCTACTTTTACCTGTAGAAATCTTTTAAGCTTTGCTTTTGTTTAATATATGAGGTTTTCAATCCTTTGACGATTTTAATCCTCTGTAGATTTTGCAACTGTTAACTTGTCCACTTTTCTCTTTATCTCTGGGGCGGGAAATTGGTTTTTCTTCTTCCTCTTCTTATCTCCTTTTTTTCTTCGTCTCCTTCCTTTGTTGTTCTTCTTCTCCTTCTTCTTTTCTCCTTATTTTGATACTTCTTTATCATTCTAACAATGTTATCAAATCAAAGTCAAAAGCACTGTTTCCATTTAGTGACTGATTTCATTGCATCAATATCGATGTTCAATTGGAAACGGTGCTTTTGACTTAATTTTGAGATTTTGATAGCTGATTTTAGAATTATAGGATTTTGCTGTTTCTGTGCGTTACATGGCATAAATACTGAGTTCATAACAGAAGTATAAAACATTTCATGAAATATTCAGAAATGTATGAAAATGAAATAACATTAAGGGGTTTAGAGGATAAGGCGCATAAGTACCTTTTTCCCATTTTGAGCAATA